AGGTGGATGGGTGTGGGTTCGGTTGTGCGTGGGTTGAGTGCATGTGCGTTTTCGTGTGTACGATGATGACATATTCTCCTCCAATCATCAATACATTTCCATCATACCTCATAAGAATATTGGACACAATATAACCCCCCAAAATTGGATCCGTCCCTATTCAAATTTGAGGCTTGTTTCGTGTTTCGTGGACAGAGACATCTGTATTAAATGTATAACCAAACTAGAGTGCCGCAAAGTTTGCCAACCATAAACAGCTATTGTGCATATTCTATGACCAAAATATTTAATATGCACCCCTACTCAACCTCAGGAATTCAATAGCGTAATTTGTTTTTGCGTGCAAGTAATGACACAATGTGCGCATGCTAGGTTTGCAGTGTAAAAAGCAGGGAACAAATGGCAACCTCCAGACAATTGGATTTCACCTTTTTTTACACCCATGTTTATGGTGCTGAATTGAAACTTGTTTTCTAAAGAAATTGAATTATTAATTGCGTTTTAAGGCGACGTTGAGGATTTATCATGCAATTGCATTTAGAATAAAACTGCCTAGAAGTTATTCTGAATAGTTGGTTATGTAGTTAATGTGAATATTGTTTTGTCATGAAGTTTGAGAAAATCTAAACTATCATTAAAAAACTGTATACTGCTGGAAATCTCAAATATATAAATGCACAGCAAACGGACATGGGTTCGTGGATTTAGACACAATTTGACATGTAAATAACATTTTGGGAGTACAAATTGAAAAGTCGATATCCTTCAAGGTTGGATAAAGGGATTGATCCATCTGACAAATGACTTCCTATCGATAACTGAACAAAGTCGTAGCCTTTCCTTATTTGTATGCGAAAAATGAGGCAGTGTCTAGGAAAGTCATCTGTATTTGTAACTATGTAATATTAATTACATATATTTATGGTGTGTGAATGCGTTTATTAAACTGATCTTGGATTGGAAAATAAAGTTGTTTTACTTCGTGCAAACATCGTTTTATCTATTCTTCAATAATCAATGGTATTTGGGTAGTGGTTTGATCCACGCCCGTTATGCCAATAGTTTGATAATGAACGGTTAAGTATTTTTGTTTACGTCATATAACCTTTAATAGCTGCAAAGACCGTGACAATATGATTTGTGATATCAATCTATTGTGTTTATGGCTGAATAACTATCAAAGCCGCGTGTGTTGGTGCGTTAGAAGCTGTAAGCTTGTGTGTAGCTGTGTCTAATTGGGGTCCAAGGTGTGGTTCTACTTCAGCAGAGGTTTAACCACTTTATCATCACGGCTGTACACGTCCATAGTTACGTGGATTGGTTCCTCTGTAAAGAGCGTCATAGGGTTGTATATCTCATAGACATCGATCGTGTTTTGAAGTCGTTTGAAGCCGAAAGACCAGGAGGAATTTGACGAGTGTGGTCTTTTAGAGTGAACAATACATAGTGGCATGAATATCCCCTAATCTACTGTCTCTAAATTGCATGGATAGCATTTCGCTGCCAGGTAAAAATGTTAGAGGTAAAAATTTCAAAGGTAATAATGTCAGAGGTACAAACAAAATATCGGGGTAAAGATCAGTCAGTGCCGTCATAATATATCGGCACTTTATCACACACCATGTCGAGACGCAAGCTCCTGGCTAGTCTAAGGAAAATTGCTCAGCGCATCACCGGTTTGGAATTGCCCAGTTTAGAAAGTATATATGTTGATCGTACATTGCTGAAGATTACTCGTATTATGAAAGACCCGTCACACCCTTTGTTCCATAATTATAATTTCAACCGTTCAGGAATTCGCCTCTGCGTTCCCCGCACTAGGCGGGAACGCTTCAGACGCTCATTTGTACCAGATTCAACTCACATGTTCAACAGTATGGTAAAACGAGGGCAATCAATGTAGACACTGTACCCTTTTTATTTTATTGCTTTCCTCCATTCCTATACAAGTAGTCAGATCTTATTTTTAGATGAAACGCCATTGATGTTATGTTGTTATTATGTTTTATAATCTGTTTAATTTTGTACATTTCCTTGTAACACACAATTGTACCAGTGAACAATGAATTTCCATATTATGGACAATAAATCAATTCAATTCAATTCAATTCAATTATATTATATTCCCTTCTTCCTTACCATAATGTTTATTTGATAAATGACTGTGTATTCAGGGGCGGCCGAGCGACTTACAAAGTGGGGGAGGGGGCACCAAGAAAAAAGGAAATCTCAAAGCGAAAATATACAATTTTGTAGACATTGATTGATACCCCTATATTGTGATTATGTTATCAGGGATGATTTCAATATTTGTTTTACTTTATACACCATTCAAGCTATTGATTATACTTTGCAGCTAGGTATGATGGTCTGAACATTTATTTGCGAGCGAGCGAAGCGAGCAAGGAAAAAGTTTAAGTTTGTGAGGTGGCAGTGCGAAGAATTACATCTTATAAAGAGGAAAAAACCAATCCTGATGGGGATATAAGCAAAGAAAAGACCTTTGATAAATAACATACAAAGAGTAATTATCAGAATTGAAAATGGGGTACTTGTTACAACTTCGGTCATGAAAATAGGAATTGGGCATTTGTCGACGAAAAAGGGGTTCCCGTCGATGTTGAAAATAAATTTGAAACTTATATTTTGTGATTAGTTTGCATATATGAATTTATAACATTTTCCCATAATTTTAAATTGGTTGATAAGTTCATTTGTATTCGGCTATGAGGAAGTAAGCACATTCAATGAGATAATTCAAGGAATCAGTTATACAGATTGGATACTCATGGATTCTAATTTCCCTCATCAATACTTTCGACAAGCCTTATTAACGGCCATTACCAATATTCAACCTGTATGACATGCTTGGGGGGGGGCATTTTTTCCTTTTTACCTCTGACATTTTTACCCCTGACAATTTTTTCCTCTGACATTTTTATCTTTGACATGTTTTCTTTTGACATTTTTACCTCTGACATGTTTTCATCGAGCCAGTATTTCAATAGCAGCATTTGGATACTTCTTCCTTGTCCAGTCCTTTACTGACGACATCAAATATATTGTTATATCTCTTGATTTCATTCAGCTAATAACCGTACTTACTATACCTTTAGTAAGATAATTATATACCAAGATTTTATTTCCGATTTTTATGATCATCATAAAAGACTTAACTCCGTTTCGTTGACGATCAGCCATGCACAAAGAAGACGAACGACTTGATACATGTCTGATTGTCAACGAAACGGAGTTAAGTCTTCTGTCCATTCTGTTTGTTACTACGACAGGCAGGTAGTGACAACGAACTCGTTTAATCAAATTATGGAAATGCAAGCATTAATTTACACAAACAGAACTTCGTTATTCCTGGCTCATTTTTCCTGATTGAGGTGTCATATGACAGGGCAGGATTTAACTTTCTTCTAACGTGATTTTTCTCCTTGAAATTAAGAAACCGCCCGCCAAATGATTTTTTGTTTCCTGTCTCCAAATTGTTTTTAATCACTCATCTGTAAAATATGCATCACTATAAATATTTTAGTCATATTAGTTGCATCAAATCAAAGAAGAGGATCTAAGCTTTACAAATATGTGTCATTTATTAAATATATGTGTGATTAAGCTATGATAAAACATCGATAATTCTCGGTTTCGTTTTTTCTGGGACGCACTGTATATATATATATATATATATATATATATGTGTGTGTGTGTGTGTGTGCGTGTACGATTGTTTTGAGGTGGATGGGTGTGGGTTCGGTTGTGCGTGGGTTGAGTGCATGTGCGTTTTCGTGTGTACGATGATGACATATTCTCCTCCAATCATCAATACATTTCCATCATACCTCATAGGAATATTGGACACAATAATATAATTAACCCCCCAAAATTGGATCCGTCCCTATTCAAATTTGAGGCTTGTTTCGTGTTTCGTGGACAGAGACATCTGTATTAAATGTATAACCAAACTAGAGTGCCGCAAAGTTTGCCAACCATAAACAGCTATTGTGCATATTCTATGACCAAAATATTTAATATGCACCCCTACTCAACCTCAGGAATTCAATAGCGTAATTTGTTTTTGCGTGCAAGTAATGACACAATGTGCGCATGCTAGGTTTGCAGTGTAAAAAGCAGGGAACAAATGGCAACCTCCAGACAATTGGATTTCACCTTTTTTTACACCCATGTTTATGGTGCTGAATTGAAACTTGTTTTCTAAAGAAATTGAATTATTAATTGCGTTTTAAGGCGACGTTGAGGATTTATCATGCAATTGCATTTAGAATAAAACTGCCTAGAAGTTATTCTGGATAGTTGGTTATGTAGTTAATGTGAATATTGTTTTGTCATGAAGTTTGAGAAAATCTAAACTATCATTAAATAACTGTATACTGCTGGAAATCTCAAATATATAAATGCACAGCGAACGGACATGGGTTCGTGGATTTAGACACAATTTGACATGTAAATAACATTTTGGGAGTACAAATTGAAAAGTCGATATCCTTCAAGGTTGGATAAAGGGATTGATCCATCTGACAAATGACTTCCTATCGATAACTGAACAAAGTCGTAGCCTTTCCTTATTTGTATGCGAAAAATGAGGCAGTGTCTAGGAAAGTCATCTGTATTTGTAACTATGTAATATTAATTACATATATTTATGGTGTGTGAATGCGTTTATTAAACTGATCTTGGATTGGAAAATAAAGTTGTTTTACTTCGTGCAAACATCGTTTTATCTATTCTTCAATAATCAATGGTATTTGGGTAGTGGTTTGATCCACGCCCGTTATGCCAATAGTTTGATAATGAACGGTTAAGTATTTTTGTTTACGTCATATAACCTTTAATAGCTGCAAAGACCGTGACAATATGATTTGTGATATCAATCTATTGTGTTTATGGCTGAATAACTATCAAAGCCGCGTGTGTTGGTGCGTTAGAAGCTGTAAGCTTGTGTGTAGCTGTCTAATTGGGGTCTAAGGTGTGGTTCTACTTCAGCAGAGGTTTAACCACTTTATCATCACGGCTGTACACGTCCACAGTTACGTGGATTGGTTCCTCTGTAAAGAGCGTCATAGGGTTGTATATCTCATAGACATCGATCGTGTTTTGAAGTCGTTTGAAGCCGAAAGACCAGGAGGAATTTGACGAGTGTGGTCTTTTAGAGATCACCTTTAGGTGTATCTGTATCACACCTGGACAAGAGGAAGAGTAGTTATGGATACAGGACGTTCATTCAAGGTTTTAACATGGGTGTCATTGGTCTGTATTCTAGTGTACATACCTACAACTACAGCAAATACTGCACATGACCGTAAGTATTGACTTGATTTCATTTCTACATTTTTCCAAATACAATAACAGAATAACAAAGAACATATTAACGTAGGGTATAATACAAAATATACAAACAATACTAAGTTCATGTCAGCATTTTATTTACATAGGCTTATATACATAGTATTATCCGAACTATCTGTGGAAAAAGTGCAGGAAACCATAATCATAAGCGATGCTTGACTGGGATGGCGGCCTCAAAAAAAGGGTGAAGGTGAAATGTTTGTGTTAGTTTGTATGGGAGCGTGGCCTACCGTCGTGCGTATGCGCGATTGTGGAGCCTATGTCTTGCAGTGTGTGCACAACTGAGGTTCAATACAAAAACAACGTATGAATCAACAAGTGAATAATACATAGTGGCATGAATATCCCCTAAACTTCTGTTTATAAATTGCATGGATAGCATTTTCAATACCAGCATTTGTATATTTCTTCCTAGTCCAGTCCTTTACTGACTACATCAAAGATCTTAATATAGGGTAGGTGTAGGGAATTGGAGACCGTAGGGAATTGGATACCACCAAGCTTGACCCCATCACTGTCTGTCCGTGTTGGCTCCAATATTGCTATAGCGCCATTTGTGGCCTTTAACAACACTACTGCACATATCCAAATCACGTGATAACGTCATTAATCATTGTTATCTTATTAATCAGTTACATCGTGACCACAATTTTGTTACCCAATACATAGAAGAAGTTACTGAAGAGAATATAAAACTTTCTGTACGTGTAACATATTTCATGTTTATGTAAATTATGCAAATGTGCTTAAGGGTGTCCAATTCCCCCACACCTACATTATATGTTAGTGATGATTACATCAAGCTAATAGCCGTACTTACTATATCTTTAGTAAGATGAAATATATACCAAAGATTATATTTCGATTTTAAGAATCATCATATTTATATCACATGAAGTAAGTTAATATACATGGCGATTATTATACAAATACTACACGCTCCGTCGTTCAATGTAACAAAATATTTAAACCGACATTATCCAAAATGTCCAGAGTGATGTTAAATTTCACCGATGCCATAAACTTTGGTTAAACTATAATGGCACGAGGGGAATTCTAAATGTGGAGGTAAACATATGTTATATTGAACAACGAATGCATGTATGTAATATTTGTTATGAGGGTATTTGTGATATTTTTCCTTTCTCTTTGGGAGTCGGTCTCTTTTTGAAAGTGGGATGACATCCAAATATAAGTTGATTCAGGTTGATGTGCAGGACTGAATACAACTCATATTTTGTTATTCAAACATCTAAATATATTTCATAGAATTTGTAAAGATTTAAAAAAAACTTATTCTCAGACCTGCTAAGCTCCATCCTAAAAGAATGCATATACCTCCGGTTGTCTCCTATTTGCATCTGCAGCGGTGCAAACGTAGCTCGCTCGACGTCATTACCAAACAAGCCAATCAGCTGTCAGTGACGTCATATTGTATGCCGGGGCAAATATATTTTGTGAAATTATCGAGGAAAGCTCTATTTCTACTTGCAAACTAGTTTTCTTCTTATAAAAAGTGCAGCCATTGTGATAAAGAAATGCATTGAAGTGTTTAGGATATGATAAGTTATGTCTTATATCATTCACTAGATGCATTTTGCAGATAAAATTCGTAATGTCCTAGAATGTTCCATTGTGTTGCATGTGTATATGCCGTTGGGTGAAATGTTATAGAGCACAATGGCGCGAAATATACTTTTGGGGGATAGAATTTCATATTTTATTGTCATATTGAAAAAAATGATCTTCATGACAGAAATTGGACGCTATTATATGCCAACTAACAATCCACTCACAATCCACTCAAAATGTATGAGTTTGCCATAAAGCTGATAAGAATGACGCATGTGGTTAGTTAAATTCAGACCTATTCCGTGGTACAGTTACTTATATGTGTTCTTTTTGTGTTGCGTTTTTAGCCAAACTGTCGGCTCTTTCGTTTCCCAGTAGGTCACAATGCGCAGATATCCACTTCAAATGTATGTCTCTACCAAAAGCGCGTAATTGTTTCACTTTCTCCGATATTTCTATGATTATACTAGATTTTCCATGTTTTTAATAACCTGCAAGGCTGACATGGAATCTGATTATAATACTACAGATACCGGAAGATAATCCTCTATCTATTGTAATGCTAGGATGATCGCTGTCAGTTTGGCAGTCATATTATTTACTGGAGTTATTATAAAACCTTTACTTATCTTAAATTTTGGAATATTAAAGGCTGCACCTGTCAGACCATCATGAAGTTTGGATCCATTTGTATATATTTTCAAGTAGTTGTTTCATTTTATTGAAATATTTTTCAATGCACAATTTAACTGCTGTATTGGAAGCGACTCTTTCTTTTTCACTTAATCATGTATACTAAAAGAGACGTTTGGTTTCACAAAATGCCAAGGAGAAGTGCGAGGAATAAAAGCTGCCTGTTTTTCTAGGTTTTTTTTCTTTCTAAAGTGCAGGCTCGATTCATGAGGGGACCCTTATTCTCTTTCCAGTTATTACATTCGTATTGCCAACAATTTTGTAGTTTATTCTTTGTTGGATGATTATCCTTTCTTCATTGAAAATAAAATTTGTATTTGTCAACAACGACCTGTCTACGAAACTCTGAGGGGGGCTCCCCGCACTCGACCTGAAGCACTGCTAGAGAGGTCGTGGTTAATCCACCAGTAATAATCCTAGGCGCCTGGTATTGCATAAATATTTTTTTCTTCAAAAGGGCATTTGATGCTGACCCATATGCTTCACATCCGAAGTCTAGAATAGGCCTGATAAGGCCTTTATATACCATTAGCAATACTCGGCAGTTGCATCCCCATTACATACCAGGTATACAGTGTGATTCCAAATAGTTTACACCTAGAAAAATGTTAATTATGTTAAAAATCATCTATGAGCAGTAAATTATTATACATCTTATGAAAGAGTGTTTTATCCGGAATCATTTAGCATCATTTCGTGTGGTGTGTGTTCACGCTTGGAGGAACAGGAGGCATTGTTTGCGAGAGTGCAAAATCGACTTGCGCCAAAGTTGCTAATATGTGATGTATGAATAAAACAATTGGGATTAGGGTATTAATCCGGTCTTTTCAGATCCAAATAACATCCCTAACAAAATTAATCATGCCACACATTTGTGCGCGTGTGTGCGTGTGTGTGTGTGTGGGGGGGGGGGACTTTCCTTCTGCAAAAAGCATATGCAATGTATTTCAGTTGATACAATTCATTCTCTCACTCCGCTAATCCCAACATCATACATACTGTGTAGCATCACTTTGGCGCAAGTCGATTTGTGTACTCTTTTTAAAAATAATTAGCAATTTCTAGGTGTAAACTTTTTTTTGACTCACACGGTAAAGCGTAATAAATGCAGACGTTTTTTTTTGTGTGCATTTTTCAACAATAAAATCATATTGAGCAGCTCAGGTTAATCTGCTGTCAAACCAGATTCCTAGGAATTTGTGTGAATAATGATGGGGGAAGAACGCAATCAATAGTCTTTAGCTTGACTTCTTTTATTTCCCGTCTACCAAATAGGACTGTTTTTGTCTTCGAAGAAGAGACATAAACTTCCCATCTTTTACACCAGTTTTCTATCTCTTTTAAAGCCGTTTGAACTTTATTAATTGCAAATTTTCAGTTTTGGCTAAAAATATATACAAATATCATCTGCATAAAATGAAACGTGGCTATTTCGTTAAAAAAAATCGCAGTGGATTGATTACACTCCCATGTGGGATTCCTTGTAGTAATACCTTATTGTTTGACAATGTCCCCTCTACTCTAACTTGAGCCGTCCTCCGGCTGAAAATTCCTTCGATTCATTTCAAAATGTTTCCTCTCAAACCGGCTTCGTACATTTTATATAAATAATATATATAATATATAATTCCTTTTTCCATAGTACATCGTAGGCTTTCTCTAAATCAAGGAAGACTACGACTACTGTGTACTCTTTATTGTGTAGGCTTTATGAATATTGGTCTCTAATCTAATGATTTAATCAATAAATTGTGCTCCTCTCTTTTCGAAAACCCGATTGTAACAGGGTAATAGCATCATATTTTTCAATATGATGAGGGGTTTGATGAATCTCTTCCAGCTTTAAAAACTAGAATTAGGATGGAAGTAATCATTGTCCGGGCAGGATGGAACTGTCTCAGATCTCATTAAACAAATCGACAAGATACTGGATAGCAATATCTGGCAACTGTTCAATCAGTCTGGGTAATATTCCGTCCTGCCCGGGTGCTGGATACTTCATCACAGTTACACTCTTTTTTAATTCAGTTACTCAAAAGTATTAATTTAATACACTTCCTCTTTCTTGACTTAAGTCAAGCTTATCTATATAATTTCCTGTTCAATTATATTGAAGTAGTGATGCTTCTGTCCTTTCTTTGCAAACATGATATCAGCAGATACTAAAACTGCTTGTGCAAAATAGTCGTATTTTCCTTGAACATTCAACATTTTAAATTCAGTCTGATCCAGTACACTTAATTGTTTAGTAATTTTCTTTCTATACAATTCCCATTTGGCGTCCTTAAACGACCACTTTTGTGGGGGCTTATTTTAAGGGTGAATGTTTTTAACAATGGGGCCTAGCTGAAAGGTAAACCTTATCACAGAGTGGTGTGTGGGTGTTTGTGTTGTGGTGGATGGGTGTGGGTTCGCTTGTGCGTGTTCGTGTGTATGGTGGTGATATATTCGCTTTCAATTGTCATTATAATTTCATCATACCTCATAGGTTATGGGACACAATATAACCCCCCCCCCCCCAATTGGATCCGTCACTATTCAAATTTGAGGTTTGTTTCGTGTTTCGTGGACACGTTAGCTTTGAACGATCTGCCTGTTCAGAGACCCCTGTGTTCAATTCATAACCAAACTAAAATGCCACAAAGTTGGCCAACCATAAACAGCTATTGTGCGTATTCAATGACCAAA